GGCGGCGGCGGCGGCGGCGGTGGTTCTTCTGCTGCCGTCACTGCCGCTGGTGATGCACCTAGTGCTGCTGGCGGTGCTGGTACAGGTGCTAGGGACTGCTAGTGCTGCTGCCGGTTCTGTTGGTGTCGGTGCTGAGGCTGGTGACAGTGTTTTTGCTGCGCTTTGCTGCTGGTCCTGATGCTGGTACATCACCCTTTTCTTGAGGATTTGGGTCATAAAATGCCTTGCGATATATTTGGTTCAAGGTGGGGCGTGCGTGCTTTTGTGTAGTAGTCATATCAAGCTGGAGGTTGACTTTGCTAACAGTTTTTTGCTTGCAACATCAGAGAGAGGGAGAGGGTGCCGTAGATCCTATACCCCAGCCCTTCTTCACCAGCTAGATTAAAAGCAGGTGCTGGTGCCGGTGATGGCGGCGGTGCCGCTGCTGGTGGTNNGGTGGTTGTGGTGGTGTTGGTGGTGAAGGTTGTGTTCATGTCGGCTGTGGTAGTCTTCGCGGTTGTGGTGGCATTGGGTGGGATGTTGCGAGTGGGAGAGGAAGTTTACATCATCCGCAACACCAGCAGCGGGGCATCATCACCGTCAGTATCAACGTCAGCAACATCATTAAAAACATCATCACCATCATCATCACCATCACGTGGAGAGGTGTACTCACAGCGGCACGCGAAGGAGGGGGTCATCATCATTATCATAACCATCATCATCATCATCGTCATCATCATCATCATCATCACCTGCCACATCATGAACATCATCATCTTACGATTCCTATCGCGAACCATCGTATCATCATCAGCAGCGTCATTCTCTTCCGGCGGGTTGCAAGCGTGCCATCACCATGCCCCTCATCCTGAGCGGAGGAGAGAAAGCAGCGTCATCACCGCCACCATCACGCCGCAGCCGCAGCCGCAGCCGCAGCCGCAGCAGCAGCAGCAGCAGCAGCAGCAGCATCAGCATCAGCATCAGCAGCAGCAGCAGCAGCAGCAGCAGCAGCGGCGGAATCAGTAGAAATGAAAACAACACCGCCGTCACCATTAGCTTCGTCAACATCATCATCATCATCATCATCGTCATCATCAGCAATAAAGCAATAATATGGTCGTCCCAATTCATGAGAAGCATCATCAACTGCATAGCCACCATCATCATCTTCTTCAGGTTCAACAAACCACAGGAACCAAAGCGTCAACAGCATCATCGTCAATATCAACATCAACATTATCGCCGTCATCATCATCATCATCATCATCATGATTGTCGTGGTGTTTGAGGGCGGGGTGTTAACAGCATAAACCTCGACACCGTCATTGGTATCATCAGCATCAGCGTCAACTTCAGCAGCAGATCATCATCATCACCATCATCATCATCATCACCATCATCATGAAAACTACCATCATCAACGTCATCATCATGTATAACATCAAACATCTACGCCCTTAGAATCAACAGCAATAGCAGCAACAACAACAACAACAAGAACAATGACAATGGAACGGCAGCAACTGCATCCTCCTCTTCCTCATCATCAGCAGGAAGAGAAACAAAAGCAGGTTCCAGCTTCACCGCCATTGCCGGTCATCATCATCTCCCATGCGCTCCTTCTCTAGTATCATCATCTCTTGGCATCTACTCTTCAAAGCTGCTGATTTGGCTGTCACATGTCATCTGAAGCAATATGCTGGCAAAATAAAGCGCTGGAGAACACATCAGGTTGCAGCCGAACTTCGCAGCCATCATCTCCGCCTGAAATCGCAGGCATAGTGCGCAAGCTTTCGGGATGTCATTCCCGCACCTCCAGTCTCCGCAAGGTCTCTGACTTCACTGATGTCAACGCATCAGTTTGTGCTGCAGCGTCGGCATGCGCCTGCACTTCATCGGACTAGCACCAAACACATGGACAAGCTATGACAAGCTGCAGTATCCTCACTACTCCCAAGTCCTGAATGCTTCCACTTTTGATACCAATCCCTGCGATCACTTTCGCCGCCCTTTGCCAGGGAGTAGTAAGGATTCGAAGCAAGACTACTCTTGCAAAGGCTTCGCACGCGTTTTCAGGGCCCCGTCTATCATGACAAAAACATCTTTGGGAAGGCAACACATGCCACCCAATCCTGAACTCCTCAGTCCGACAAGTGCATCTTGAAATCCCAACAGCTGAGAGTGCACCTCGAGGAGGGTGTGACGAAAACACTGCCAAGCTGCATCTAGCACCTGTTGAGAGCCCTACTCTTACAAGGGGACATGGGGTATCTTTGAATCTGAGAGGGTGTGCTGAAGCTCCGGGATAGCGCCTAGCATTAAAGCTTATTGAGGCAAAGTTTGTAAGACGCAAACGTATGCTACTTACCTGAACAGTCTGCTCAGGATCCGCTGTCTCACTTTTGAAGGCCTGAGTGAGCCTGTTTGATGCGTTGGGGTCTCTGTCAGAACTGGGGAAACCGAAAATCTGTATGGAAACCCTAGACCCCCGAATCCTCTAGGCAATCACGGAAACCATCCAGAAAACTATCCAAACATCTGAAACCCTCAAGAAATCCTTGGAACAGCAATAGCTTGCAAGATCACGGAAGACTCAACTTGACATAGCACTGTTGAAGGTTCTCAGACTGCGTCCCTGTTCTTTCATGCCGACATATACGCCGTGCCATTTCTCCTCCAAGAAGATGGAAACAAAAATCAGTGGTAGAGTCGTACCTCGGCGAACGACTCGTCCGGGAGCGACGGTTCAGCCATGGCAGCAACAAAGAGTGTCGTTTTCAGGCCGGCTCATGGATGTTCGGGATGCTTCGAGGGATGTTGCTGTAACACTTAAGTTTTACAGTGGTGTCAGGTGGGGACTCATGGGATCCAGGTTGCTTGTTCATGGCATTTTTTTTTACATTTGGCGCTCGAAACTTGGAACGACGGCTCCGGGGCGTTACTTTAAGCTTCATGTGCTGATAGCGCTAATTGCTTGAGATAAATGCAGAGGAGCATCTGGCTGGAAAGCATCTGATGCAAACAGCGACTTGTCATGCTGAAGTCACATAGTAAAGGCCTCAGTGAGGGGCCTGGGCTAACATGATGCTAACATATGCTAACTCTGAAGCACCGAATCCTAGGTGAGTAGCGTTTTTTGGGATGGTCAAACCCAGTACGATTATTTTCCTCATCTAAAGATACTACGTATACCCGTAAGGAGGACATAATCTTACTCTATATTGGGTACTATCGTATTATTCTCGGACGTCAGTCGGTCATTTCAGTCAGGGGGGGTCGAGCTCTTTGGCTCCTTCACTAGAATAAAATGTAATCGGCAGACCATAGTATCCCCTTACAACAGCTAAGGTCTGGGGTTCATAGCCTATCCATCAAGAACGAAGATCGCAGTTGTGGTAGGGACTGGAGTTTACGGGACTACGGCACGCGGCCAAGCCAAATCACCAAACAACCGTACGTAAGATGGCTGACACAGCTTCAACGATGAGCTTCATGTCTTTCAATCAACATCCCATTAGCTTTTTCAAACGTGTGACCTTTGTGCGGTTCTCATGAATGCACAAATCAACAGCAACGCACACGGCAGATCCCATGCGTGCCAGCATGCACCAGCTTTTACAGAATGGATTTGCAATGAGGTGCTTCCGTCTGCAGAATGACTGGGCCCGCTTAGCTTCATCAGGGTCGTCTGCATTGCCATGACTCCATGGGCGTTCCCCCCAAGAGTATCCCACTGAAGTCAGCGGGAACAGCCGGACCTGCCCCCAAATCCCGCCTCGCGGAGTGGGCGGTGAGCCCAAGCTGTCTCTGTTAGCCGGCTCTGAAGGCTTGAGCACGCTCAAGCCTTCAGGAAAAACGCGTCTGCGTACATCTAGGAATGCTCATGCCTCCGGATTTTGATTGGACTGAAGGCATTGTTCTGTTCTGATGAGACCAGTTGGGAGTGCAAATTTGATCCGGACCCATCAGCAGAAACACAAGGAATCGATCAACAAGATCGCGAGATGATGCGCCTCTGAGATGCTGCGATCCTGACACAGTTTTGATCAATGCTTCCTTGTAAGCCATTGGGGCGCAGCCAAACTTTCCAATAGGATGCCTGCCCTCTCAAGCTTTCCGAAGGGCGGGCCTTATGCTAAAGCAATGTGTGCTGGAGGAGAAAGACCCAGCAAGGTCCAGCAGAACTCAGAGGCGTTGCATTATCCCGAACTGCTGAACGTTATCCTACGATCCACGCGCGTTCGCGCAGTGGGTGAAACAGTATGAAACTCTGCTAATGCAACTCCGTAAAAAACAGGTTGTAGCTCAAAATGTAAAGGATAAACAAATTCATCAAACCCTGCAACAAACAGCCCAAGCTACTCAAAGCAGCTGAAGCCAGGGACAGGTTTGCTGACATTGCTGCAGCCTAAAATGACCTGGCCAGTCGATTTCTTTCATAGTAGTGTGGCCTAGGATGACTGATCAGGAGAGGCAGTATAAAGCTCCGCCTGCCTGGCTCACAGTTCCTTCTTTTGGATTGCGGCGGAATGGGGAAATTGCTGGATCATGCGAGCTTCCAGCTCTGAAAGCGTGTTGCGCATTTCCTTGGAACCACATCCATCAACTAGCAAAGAGTAGTCCTTACGGTGCTGCATGATGAGAAAGGCTCTGCGAAGCAACGGAAGACGCATGATGTCGACCCTTCGTGTGTGCGTTCATGCGTGCATGTGCCAGTTGTAAGTCGCCAGACACATGAACAACACACAGCCTCATCTTCCACAAGTTCAACGTGGCCGACTTAGTAGAACAGCAACAACCGTTGTCCAATAAGGAACATCCAGGGCTCGGTAACCATCTCTTGTAGGGCCTTTGTTGCCAGGAGCGTAGCCACCGTGTCGCTCTTCTTGACATCTCCGCGGATCTTCAACATGCCCTGCACGCGGCGGGAGCAAGCTGCAACGCACATGATCGGTCAATGAACTGATTGATTGCTTGATTGATTGATCGGCGGACTGGTGGGCTGTTGGCCTGCTTGTTTTTGGGCTGAGCTCTGAAACATCTAGATCAAGAATCAAGAATGCATACGACCACGAGCCCCTTCTTCGCAGTTCGACAGGCACGGAGTCAACGACAGCGGAGGGTTTTCCAACGCAGGAACAACTACAGCGAGCAGCATGCCTGAACCAGCTCAGTCACATCCATCGTCCCACTGCCGTCTGCATCGATTACCTTGTAAGGAGGTCTCAAGAAGTCTCGAGAAATTGAGTGCCCAGCGCAAGCTGCGCAATGTAATGCTGAAGTGAGCATTTGGGTATGAATGCAGAATCAGGAACGAGGTTGACAGGTCTGCCCCACAATCCAACAAGCTGCACCGCCAGACTGAGATAGAAGCATGCGTATTTCAGAGCACTCCGATGAACGAAGGCGACCGTGCATCAGGCAGAATAACACAGCTACATCTGTCAGCCTCGAACAGGTTTGCTCGATCAGGCGGAAGGTCAAGATCGTCCATCAGAGCTTGAACAGTGCGGTCCTGGAAACAGCAAGGCCACTGGACTTGTTTGCAAGTCTCCTTCTTCAAGAAGATGATGCCAAGCACTGAGACCTGCAAAGAATCCCCGGCCCAACAGATGGGCTGGCCTGGATCACCAACAAGAACAACTCTTTGCTGAACGCCTGCCGTCAAGAGTGCAAGCACTGTCTGATCAGAGCAAGCGTAATTTACTATTGCGAAGACTTCCGGAATAAGTTGAGAAGCTCTAACGGACTGCAACATGGAGACCTGCATGGATCGGCCACCGCACTTCGCTGAGGGTCAGGCGATGTCATTGATGTCTTCGTCTGTGTAAGCAACCGTGTTCTGCGTTTCTATCTTGAAGGTTTTCCTGTCCTAGGCCAGAAGAGGGTGTTTACGGAGAGGCTCCGTTCAGCAGAATCCTGCCGGATGGATAGCACAGGAACAATGCTCAGAGTTGGTCGTTCCTCAGCTACCTGTTTGGAACTCCTGCTACTTCCAACGAATGTCATGTAAGGTTTTTGTTCATTCGTGAAATGATGAGAGATCTGTGCACCCTGACGCCGCAAATCTTATCCGAAGAGCCCGGAGGGACTGGACAATTTTTCGGCTTGCTCTACCAATAATTACGCACGGTGCTGCTGCTGCTGCGGCGGATGATGATCATATGATTTGGTGGCGGTGGTGGGGTGTGTGGGTAGGTGGGTGGATGGGTGGGTGGGTGGGTGGGGTAGGTGGTGGGTGGGTGGGTGGTGCTGGTGCTGGTGCTGCTGTTGTGGCTGCCGTGGTTGTTATTGATGATGATGGCGGCACTTGTTCGACCCAGCAGCTGGCTCGTCGAAGTCCTGGTAGAGACGGTAGGCCTGCACTTGACCAGATTGAACAACTGCAAAATTTCAGAACCCGAGACGGATGAAAGCAACTTCTATTCTGAACTCCCTATAGTATAGCGTGCCATGAAGTATTCGTGTACATCCTACCAGTATGTGCAAAGACTCGGCCTGCGCAAACTTCTTCAACAGCTCACCTTTTGGAGGTTGTGGTAGGGGCTGGGAGAAGGCAGGAATCTCAGGTCCTCTTGATGTATCAGCTGAGGCCAGAGGCGATGTGTACATCAAAGGAGTTTCCACTTCAAAAAGCTTGACATGCTCTTGACATTGATTTTTCAAGGGGCCATTTTTGAGGTTTGATTTGCGGGTCTGGTCCTGGAGCTGGTCTCACGACGGCAACATTCCCCCCTTACCCTCCCAGCTCTGCCCGCGCCTCACCGTCAAGGCGGCGCTCGGGGTAGTAAGTAAATTATGGAAAGGCAATGCAGAGACGAAAAGATCGCAACCGCACTGGCTGTCATGCAAAGCATGGCAAAAGAAAACAACAAGGCACACCCTCAAGGCCGGCACGAGTGGCATCACAGGGCGCGCGTTTCTTGCCCAAGCGAGCCCGAAGGTGGCAAGCTACAAACGGGCCGCTATACAAAATGCCCCTCCCCCGAAAACCCACCCGATTCTCACGTCACCTCGCCCTGCCCCCCCCTCCCCGGCATAATTGAGAAGTGAATGTATAATCCACGTAACAAATGGGTCACCTGATTCTGCAAAAGCGCCTGATGTTCAATGCATGGGCTCATGCATTTTTGTCATGAAGCCACCCGAACTACCCTGACTGTAATCATTGACTTGGCATCGGGCGGGTCGTTCGAGCAATTCGGATAGACTCGCGCGCATGCTGTTCGGACGTCACCGCCTCTGTCTCCTGCGTGCAAACAGGCTTTTGCAGAAGACTTTTGCGTTAGTGAAAGAAAACCACAAGCACTCTGTTGTGGTCTGAAGCCTCTTGTAGCAGAATAACATGTTGGTCGCTTCAGTGCTGCATCACAGGATGTTCCCACCTTGGCAGCTCTCATGGTGATGTCGACATACACCTTAGCTAGCAGACAGCCGCGAAGCTTATGTCTTCAACGCGATGGCCCAAGCGAGTCCCTTGAAGTTTCGAGCCAGAAGCAGGAGTCAAAAGTCATTCTGCAGAACTTCGGCAAACTGGCTTTGCTCAAAACTCGACGCTATCTACGAGGGTCCTTGTCCCCTGTCGGGAATCCATCCTGAAAATCTTGTTTTCAGAAAAGGTGCTGCCAGGATGACGTTGAAGATACCTACAGCTGGCTCGCAGATGTAACTTGGACGCAGGATGCACAAGGACTAGTGACTGATTTGTGGGCAACTCTTCTGCAGTGGAACTGCTTTGCATCTCTCTTCGATGATGCGATGAACGGCATTGAGGAACATCGTGATCATGTCATGTGGTTTAAAAAATCGCTGTAGCTGCCCGAAAGAGTTCAGCCAGCCCGCAAGTCAACTTCTCGCGAAACTGTTCTGTACTGACAAGTACCCACCAACTTTCATCGGGATCGGGCTAAGGCACATATTGCAGCAAAGCAACCATGACTTCTGCAACTGGCTTCTGCCAGGACAGATTCCAACTCACTGGGTCAGGTGATGTCTTCGCTGCAGCTTGTCTATTGGCACGGGCTAATCAAAAGCTCACAGCTTGCGAACACAGAGCGCAATAGGTTGTGTTGACCTGTTGCCAAGGTGCCCAGGGTCACCAGCATATACGTCACCACGTAGCTGATGACGAAAACGAAGCCGAATTTCTAGCAGGCTTGATGGCTTCACAATGGCTTCACATGCCTCACAGCCTATCAACACCAGGGATGCTAACAAAGCCTGCAGATCTACGTGTGGCTTTAGGTATCCCCCCTCCGGTCCTGGGCCAGCAGGTCCTGGATTGGCTCACCTTTCAAAGGTATGTGTAGTGAAAACTGCTAGCTACCCCTCAGCCTGAGTCTGATCAGATCCCACTGTAGGTAGACTTCATGCGGGCTGCCCCCTGGTTGCGGCTTCGCTTCCCGCCAATGTCAGGAACTTTGCATTGTGTGGAGGCAAGCTGATGAGACGACCTAGGCAGGCCTTTGCGTGAGATGCACTCTCCGCTATAGCAGCGAAATGCCGTAAACATTGCCCTTGGATGCGAAGTCTGGCAGCCACAAGCATCAAAGCAGTGTTGAGATGTAGGAGGAATAACTCAAATCCCGAGAAATTACATAGTCACGGAATGTCACGGAGCACCCTGGACATCCCTCGATAACCTTCCGCCAACGCAGCGTACAAACAATGCGACACATTGCGACACGGTCTGCACTGCAGCTTGTCGGGGCCATTGCTGTTAGAGACCAAAAAATCATTTTGACCCTGCTGCTGAGCATCTCGATTTCGCGGTCTGCTGGTTTGGTACTTACATAGGCCAAAATTCAAGAGTCGTTCTTGTCGGCTTCTCCTTCCTGCAAGTTCTTTCAGCTAAGTTTAGCATTCCACTCCTGTCGGCTGCCTGTCCGGAGCTCATTCTTAAACCGCCACGGTGGAGTGTCTTTCCGTCAAAGTCTTTGAAGTGCTGTTCTTTTCACGAAGAAATTCCGATACATCTTGGACATACATGTTTAGCGCTATAGATTGTCGTGTCCATAAGCCGAATGGCTGTGGAAGATCCTCAAAATTCTCCTGGAGGCCCAGCTCCACCGTGGCTTCGTCTCGCCCGATAGTCATCGTGACGAATCCTGGACGTGGCTTCAAGAACTAATGAGACTGAATAACTCTGCGAACTCATCACTGCAAGCCTCCCTCTAGTGTTCATGCCTGGCACAGCTCAAGAGTATGTCCTGAAATCACGTAAAGGACCGTAAACAATAGGGCGAAGGCCAGCAGCAAGGTTCGCAAACCTCCGCGCGATCGCATGGTCAAAGGCTGATGAGCCATGAAGAACTTTGCACATATTGCTTTGGCATAAGGCCAAGGCCTAGATTTTTCAGGATTTTTCATTTAGACTGATTGCACGATTGCTTGAACTGCAGCATGCTGCAAATCATGTCACCAAGATGTTGCGCCATTCTGAAACCACGCATGCGCGTTCGCACCTGCCACGAGCCCCTTCACCATCAAACGAAGCTCCTGAGCACAGGGATCACTTGAACAACTCAACATCCAGAACATGGCTAGGCATGCTAGGGCCCAGGGACGACTGCACACATTGACATCCATGACAGCTTTTAGAGTGGATGCCTACAGAAACCCCCTCAGATGTCTAAAGAGGCAGTCCTTCATGCACTTCAAGCGAAACACTTTCCTGAGATCCATTTGAGGGTGGTGTGCTGACACAATTTGCACGAAGCAGCTTGCTTGGTGTACAACCAACTGTCCCTTTGGACTGCTGTCCATGGCGTGCTACATGCGATACTCACGCTGCGTTGGCGTCTCATTGCAAAAGGACATGCAAGCCAGCACGGGCACTTTTTGCTTTGCGAATGAGCTCCTCTGCTGTTTACTGCCATTAGACATTCCGTGAGAACGCACAGGATATGCAATCGAATGAAGCAACTGGCATGCAAGAAGGTGCTGCGGCAGCCAGGTCACACAATCCGAACCAAGCGGATTAATCGAAAGAACCGAAGAAGCGATGATGTACCCCTCAGCAGAATATGAGAATCTAGAAAGCAATAACCAAAGCATGGTCGGGTTTTGAGGCTGAGGCCAGAACAAAGAACCTCCACTTGTGCTTAGCTTCGGGAATTAGGGTTTCAGAAGCATGCAGTTTTTACAACCTTTGGCACAAGCAGCTTAGATTGACTGAAGGAACATCTGTGACAATGGCAGATATGGCCCGTCAAGGCTAGCGTAGGCTGTTCTTAAAGGAATTTTCTTGAGCAAGTGCTAGCAGCACAGCAGCATTGCCCGAAGGCGATTGTTGGCTATCTTGTCAAGGCTGGGTTCGCACTGCTCTATCCTAAAAATGCCTCTTCTTGAACCGGATGTTACACGCCTTAGGATGACTGTCTGGAGCGGGGCGAGGTTAGTCCGTTCAACATGTTGGTCCAGCATGCGCACATTCACAGCACATCACTGCAACATGGTCTGCTGCAAGCAGCAGCATCAACCGCAAGGTTAGAC